ACATTTTGCTAAAAGGGTTATTCTTGTTTTGCTGCCAGAACAAGAGGGAATCCTGAATGGCTGGGAAGAGGCTGGCTCTTCTTCTTAAAGAAAGGTTCTATTACAGTGAACTAATTCATTAGAGCCCTATTTCCTTTCCAAAAACTAAATAGCCTGAGTCCATTTATGTAAGCCACACCATACATATATATATATATATATATATATATATATATATATACACATGTTATTCCTTAATGAATTTCAAGTGGCTGGAGAAGAATAACAGATCACCTCCTATTTTGTCCATCAAAAATTATGTCTATTTGTGCAGATCAAAAAGAAGTATTACATCTTTTCCACTGGTTTGACAGATGTCAGTAATTAGTTATGGAGTTTTAAATCAGATTTTGTTGAAAATATGGACATAACTATAAGCATGGAGGCCTTAAGAATTTGACTTAAAAGCATATTAACAGAAAGAAATTGATGTTCTCTAAAATTATGTTTTCAGTACATTCAACTTGAGAAACTATCTTTATACCAAAATGTCTGTACTACCACCAACAGAGGAAGCAGAGATTTACATACATAATTATTGAAAATATAACAATTTTAGTGCCATTAAAGCATTTTAAGAACACTGAGCACACTGAAAACAAAGACATTCTGTCTGTCCTTCCTGACAGAGCTCATTAAATCAATGAGATACACCTATCCCAATACTGAACAAAACCTGTTTTTGCTGTAGGTTTTTTAGATGCACACTGGTCATAAAAAAAGCAGCTCATGTATATAGCAAATATTTTGTTTAACAAATAGTGTTTCTTACTGTGGATCTGTTGCAAAGATGAAATCTCTGGCTTCTACTAAGAACTCTATGCAATTTATGCAATTTGTAAATATGGTATCTTAAAATTTTTATTGTAGAATAACAATACTAATTATCCTAACTCCAAGACCAATTAACATGTACATCTCATTGGTTGTTTTGTTTTGTTCTTTTTTCCTTTCCCAGTTTTGTCTTAGCTACACTAACACCTAGAATTGATGTGGTTTTGTCTTCAGGAGTCATTCAAGTGAAAAGTTCCTTGATGTTCTTATTTTATGACTAAGTTCTTTCCAGGAACTTGAAAATTCTACTTGCAGTGACTGAAGCATATGGTGAAGCACTATGTTTTTATGTCCTGTTTATGTACATTGAACATATAAACATATGAGGATTTATTTGATGGAGATTTCCTCAGGTTTCCATAAAGCTTACATTCTAACATCCTACTGATGCTCTGAAGAGATAAATCAAACTCAAATTGTACTTTAATGGAAAATCAAATTTATTCATCCAGGCCTCTTGATTAATGAAGTGTAATTCCTACCTGCTCTGGAGTAATTGCAGCTCCAGCCCTTGAAAGCTCAAGGACAAAAGAAGTTACTACCTCTTCAAATTGCTATGAACAATATTCCTGCCGCATGCAGACTTCAAGCTGCCTTCCCTACTTCCTTCAGCAGCAATGTGTCCATAATGACACAATAACTCAAGCTGCCTGGTGCACCAAGAGTATACTTGTTGCTCCTCTAGTAAACTTAGTAAACTGTCCAACTCATTTTCCCACAATCACACCATCTCAAGCATCTGTAGCACAGAAACACTGCAAATGCTGTATGTGCATCATTTCATTCAACTTGCAAAAAACCATAAAATAACTATTGAATAAAAAGAAATATATGAAATTGCAACAAGTGGTGAGAACTGTGCAAACTACAAAGTAAATTTATGCATACCATTGGCACAATATGCTCCTTTGAAACATGCAGGTAAGTGAACCTCCTCTTTGCTATTCATCAGAAGTGCAATCTACTGCCAAAAATGATCTTATAGCCTTAAGGTGCAAATCATCCACACAGGCTCAGGAAATTTAAAATGGGCTTTCTCTTCTCCTTGGATTGCTTTAAGACTTAGGAAAAGCAGAACTGTCTCAATGCTGAGTACCCCATACAATACAGCTTTCACTGAGCCCCTAAATAGAAATGGACATAGGATAGAAATCAACAGACAGATACATGGTTAAAGCTACCATGACATACAATTTATTTCAGATTTTTTGTTTGTTTGTTTGCTTGCTTTTGGGGAGGGGAGGGCAGGGCATTTCCTGACCACCTCCTCAGAAACAGTTCTTTCAAGTGTAGTTTGAATGGCTTTTTCTATGCCATTGAGAAGTGACACTGTAACGATTTATGAAATTTTGTAACTAGAACTTGAGAATCTGATGTGTCAAGGCTGGCAAACTACCAAAGAGCCAGATGAGAGAACAGTAATGGATTATGTTTGGCATCAGAAGTCATGCTGTTTGGATAAATCAATTAACAGTTGTCCCTGCTATCATCACAGATCTTCTGTTTTCCCCAAAACCCCAGCTGGTCTTTCCAAAAGATACTATGAAGAATACTGACAATGCCAACTTCCAAAATGTCAAGAGATTTGTCAACCATGACTGCGCAAAAGAATTGCCATGTGACTGATCTTTAGTTCTTCAATCAAGGATAAAGATTGCCATGCCATCCAATCTCTGGGAGCACATCACATGCAAACTCTGCTTACTTGAGTTTCATGTAGGAATGATTAACCCAGATAGTTTTGAAAGCATCAAGCACCTTAGCATTCAAGTTTTAATGTATGTAAAAACTGCTTTTTCTGAGACAATGCTGGGATTTTAACCAATGTCCTCTGTTAACCTGGCCTGATCAGTCATTCTACAGCATTTTAGCCCTATGCACTTTATATGGTAATACAGAAGATGCAAGACTTGCATGAGGTTAGCTTCCAAAAGAGCCAAGTGAGCAGACTGTCTGCACATATGTGGAGTAGTTATACAAGCAATGCACACACGAGCTCTCGCTGTAGAATTCAGCTTCTATTCACTTCGCTGGTTTAATTCTTCAGGAGCTCGTCAGTTTTTTGTGTTCCATCATAAATATGAGATCTGTGTAAATCGCTATAACACAAATTCAATTTTGAATTAGTTCCATTCTTATGTCAGGTACTTGTTTTAGTTGGCTTAGTGAACTGTAAATTCCCTTCGGTAAGACTTAGCGAACAAGGGACCCTTTGTCAAAGGGAACAACACTAACCTTTTATCTGAGCTTACAGAACCTTTAATTTGGGACTTGCAACTTTACAGTGTTGGGAGATTTCCTTCTGCACTCCTCTTAGCTGCAAACTGGGGTCACACTCTGTTTTTACTTATACCCAAGCAGTAACTCACATCTCAAACTCTACTTTGAGAACAAATACTTCAGGTGACATAAAACTGTACATTTTTCAATTAGAAGAGCAAGAAATGCTTCAACTAGAATGAATACATTTCAGTCCCATGAATGTTTCATATTCATTCCAGTTCCTCTTAGAACTGGAGATTCAGTGCAAGAAATTCTGCCAAATGTGCACATAAATAATCTGAACTCTCTGATGGCACGGGAACAGTGTGATGCTCTTCTCCATGCCCAGTGCTGTCAAGGCAGAAGCATGGAGGAGTGGCTGCTTCAACAAAGCTGCGCTGCCAAATAGCTGTACATGGAGCTGCTGCCCAGCGCTTTGCTAACAGCAGACTGCAGAATTTCAAGGAATTCAGGTGGTGCTGCACTGATGCAGAGAGCTAACGCAGCCAAAAGTAAAATAGACAGACAAGGAAATAAAATAAATAGTAACAATAAGCCTCCAAACTTCTACCATTTATTTTATATACTCAAGGAAAAACAAAACACTCTTCTTGGTTAAACTATGAAGTGATTATGCATGAAAGGAAGAATTCAGTGCAACTTTCAGCTTTCACAAATTAGCAGAAGTTTCAAACACAGAGGAAGAGAGCAAGATCTATCAGAACAGCAGACTGCCGGACCTGGTAGCTGTTGTCACAATAAACATGCAGCCCACAACTTACCACCCATGTGCATTTTCACTGTCAAGCACAACAAAGGAATCAAGCATCTTGTGGAGCAAAAGCCCCACGCACAGTCTTCACCTATGTCATGCTGTTCTCATGCCTTATTTGCACTGCTGTGCACCCAGGAGCAAGCATACCACTGCACTAAGGCAATGAGATCCCCTCTCCATAAAGTTTCAATTAGTTTCTTAAACTCAATTACACTGCACAGAAAAGAATCTGGAATACTGGATGAAGCTGTCATGTTTCATAAGACATTTAATAATATTATATTTTATTTTTCCTATTGACATTTAGTTTGGTTTTGAGCTCAAACTATGAAGCCAAAAGAGCAAAATAAATTATTCTGTGAAACTTAACAAATTATTCCATTGTTTTTAAAAGCACTGGGCAAATCCCACTGAATTAGGCATGAATTTGTCACATATGTAGGGAGGAACTTAAGACTGATGCATTGTTCCCGTTACAAATCTTATTTTTAAAGGTTTCAAGTTAATGTTTAAATTAACTCCAGGCTTAAGCACGGAATATGCATTTACTCCACAGAGGGAAAGGAAAGAAAGGGAAGGTGGTTGTCAACTTGATCTGTCTCTCGGTCCCTGCCGGTGAAGCCGCATCGTTGAAGAAACGCCAGACTAACCTGAGAGCTGTCTGACACAGGAGGTGCATCTGCACAAACTCCTCGGCCTAACCTGACGGCAAAACTTCGAGCAGCCCTCCCGCAACTCGAAGCGTCCCCCACTCTTACCTGAGCCTCCACGGCCCGCAGAACCGCTGGTGCCAGCGGACTGTCAGTGCACACCGATTGGAGCAGGTAGAGAAAAAAGGTCTCCCTGAACTCCATGCCCATTTTTCAGCCCGCGCTGTCAAATCGAGAGCTTAACCGCACCACCCACCCGCCACGGGACCGCAGCCGGGCCGTGCCGGCAGCTCCCGCAGCGGCAGCAGCCGCTCTGATCCGCCCCCCCTACCGCCGTAGGTACCCACCGCCCCACCTGCCCGCGGCCGCTCGGCCATCCCCTCCGTCCCACAGCGTCCGTCCCTGTCGGGCAGAGCACGGAGAGCAACTCGGCAACTTACGGCGCTGGCAGAGTCCAGGCACGGCCGCCAGCAGCCGGACCGCCCCGAGGAGGGCCCCGGGGCCGCGCTGGCACTTGGGCACGGAGACGATCCCCGCTGTGAGGCACGCCAGCAGCGGCACCCACAT